AGCAAACCAGATCCAGCAATACATTAAAAAGATCATACACCATGATCAAATGGGTTTTTTAATAAGAATGCAAGGTTAATACAATATTCACAAATCAATAAATGTAATACATCACATAAATAAAATGACAGATAAAAATCACATGATTATATCAGTATAAACAGAAAACGCATCTATAAAATCTAGCACCCATTTATTTTAAAAACTCTCAGCAAAGCAGGAATAGACAATATAATAAAGGCCACATATGAAAAACCTACAGCCAACATCACACTCAGTGGGCAAAAACTAAAAGCCTTTCCTGTAAGAACAGGAACTAGTCAGGAATATCTGCTTTTACCACTCTTATTCAACATAGTACCGGAAGTCCACCAGGAGTGCACTTCTGTCCGACAAGAAGAAATACAAGGTATCCAAATTGGAAAGGAGGAAGTAAAACTGTCATTACTCACAGACAACATGGTATTGTACATGGAAAACACTAAAGACCCTAACAAATATATACTAGACCTAATAAATGAATTTGGCAAAGTAGCAGGATCCAACATCAATATTCAGAAATGGATAGCATTTTTATACATCAATAATAAACTATCAGAAAGAGAAACTAAGAAAAAAAATCCCATTAAATATTGCAACATAATAAAGTACCTAGAAATAAATATATTTTTCTATCCCACAGGCAATCCCCACACCATTGTCCATGCCCATGGGTCTTGCATGTATGTTCTTTGGCTACTCTATTCCTTATGTTATACTTTACATGCCCATAACTATTCTGTAACTACCAATTTGTGCTTAATCACTTCACCATTTTCACCCATCCGTCTGGCCGCACCCCCATCTGGCAACCATCAAAATGGTCTCTGTATCTATGGTTCTGTTTCTGTTCTGTTTGTTTATTTTGTTTCTTTTAGATTCAATTGTTAATAGATATGTAATCATTGCCAGTTTACTGTTCATATTTTGGCTCTTCTACTCCTTCTTAAAGAAGACCCTTTAACATTTCATACAATACTACTTGGATGATGATCCTTTAGCTTTTCCTTGTCTGGGAAGCTCTTTATGTCCTTTGATTCTAAATGATAGCTTTGCTGAGTAATCTTGAATTGTAGGTCCTTGCTTTTCATCACTTTGAATATTCTTGCCAATCCCTTCTAGCCTGCAATGTTTGAGAAATCAGCTGACATTCTTCTGGTAGCTCCGTTGTAGATAACTAACTGCTTTCTCTTGCTGCTTTTATGATTCTCTCCTTGTATTTAACCTTTGGCATTTTAATTATGATGTATTTTGGAGTAGGTCTCTTTGTGTCCATCTTGTTTGGGACTCTCTGTGCTTCCTGGACTTACATGTCTATTTCCTTCACCAAGTGAGGGAAGCTTTCCTTCATTACTTTTTCAAATGCTTCTAAGTTCTTGCTCTTTCTCTTCTCCTTCTGGTACCCTTATGAGGTGAATGTTGGTATATTGATATCCCAGAGGCTCCTTGCACTATCCTTATTTTTTGGATTCTTTTTTCTTCTTGCTGTTCTGATTGGTTATTTTTGGCTTCCTTATCTTCCAAATCCTTGATTTGATTCACCGCTTCATTCACTGTACTCTTGATTCCCTGTAAATTGTTTTTTATTTCAATTAGTGTATCCTTTGTTTCTGAATGGATCCTATTTATGCTGTTGAGGTCCTCACTAAATTCCTTGAGCATCCTTATAACCAGTGTTTTGAACTCTGCATCTGATAGATTCCTTTTCTCCATTTTGTTTAGTTCTTTTTCTCGAGTTTTGATCTGTTCTTTCATTGGGGCCACGTTTCTTTGTCTCTTCATTTTGACAGCCTCCCTGTGTTTGTTTTTATGTATTATGTAGAGCTACTATGTCTCCCAGGCTTGACAGAATGCCTTAATGTAGTAGATGTCCTATGGGGTCTGGAGGCACAGCCTCCCTTATTACCCAAGCTGGGTACTCTAAGTTTGCCCACTGTGTGGGCTGTGTACACTCTCCTTTTGTAGTTGAACCTTGGTTGCTGTGGGCATGTCCAACATCAGTCACTGCTAGTATTCTGTCTGGAGTCACATAGCCTTAGCTACAAAGTGATCTATAGATGGCTACTACTTGTGCCAGGCTTGGAGGTGCCCAGGAGATGCCAAGCTGCGGACCAAGGCTAGTTGCTATTAGCACCAGGTCTGGGGCAACTTGGTGAGAGGTTTGTTTGTTTGAGAGAATTTAGGAAAATCTGAAGCATGGGCCAAGACAAGCCATTCATATGAAAAAGCCACTGAAAACAGTTCAGGTGAGCCTGAAAGGTGGGTGGGGCAGGTCCTCATGGAATCACCAGGGTGGGGAAAACAGTGTGAGCCCGGTTCATGGAGTCTCAGATATAACCCTCCCCCTGCTGGCCCTATAGTTTTGTGGGGGATGGCTCAGAAAAGGAACATTGCCCTCTGCCAGCACTTCTGTCTGGGAGAAAGCTGCTCCCAAGCTCTCACTCTGATGCCAGACAATTCAATTCTTCACCATTTGTGTCTGATGTGTTTTAATCTGCTGCCCCAGCACTGGAGCTCAAAGGGAATGAGTCTGAGTAAGTCTGTTCATGGGTCTTTTAAGAGGAACTGCCTGGGACTCAAACAGTTTGTCTTCCACAGCACCAATCCTTGCTGGTTTTTACAGCTAGAAGTTATAGAGACATCTTCCTGGCAGTGGACCTTAGACTGGGGCACCTGGTATAGGGCTGGGACCCCTCACTCCTGAGATAAAACTCCCAACTTCTATCCATGACATGTGGGTGTGGGACCAGGTTGTTCCTCATCCCTACCTCTCCTACCAGTGTCGATGTCGTTTCTTCTTTAATTTTGTAGTTGTAGGACTCCATTCAGCTTAATTTCTGATGGTACCGAATGATGCTTGTTCTATAGTTTAGTTGTAGTTTTGATGTGGTTGTGTGAGGAGGTGTGCAATGTTTACCTGTACCATCATCTTGACTGGAAGTTCCAAGGAATATATTTAACCAAGGAGGTAAAAGACCTATACTCAGAATATTATAGGACACTGAAGAAAGAAATTGAGGAAGATACAAATAAGTGGAAGCATATACTGTGTTCATGGATTGGAAGAATAAATGTCCATACTACCCAAAGCAATATATAGATTCAACTCAATTCCTACTAAAATACCAATGGTATTTTTCACAGATCTAGAACAAATATTCCAAAAGTTTATATGAAATCAAAAAAGACTGCATATGGCCTCAACAATGGTGAGAAAGAAGAACAAAGTTGCAGGTATGACAATACCTGAAATCAAACTATACTATAAAGCCAGTGTAATGAAAATAGTCTGGTACAGACTATTTTCATAAGAACAGACATATAGATAAATGGAACCAAATAAAGAGCCCAGACATAAGTCCATGCCTGTATGGCCAATTACTATTTGACAAAGGAGACAAGAGCATATGATGGAGTTATAGACAGTCTCTCCAATAAGTAGTGTTAAGAGAATTAGACAAGTACATAAAAAAATAAATACATAAAGTAGACCACCAACTTACACCATACAAAAGAATAAACTCAAAATGAATAAAAGACTTAAATGTAAGTTGCAAAACCATAAAAATCCTAGAAGAAAACATAGGCAGTAAAATTTCAGATATCTGGCATAGCAATAGTCTTGCTGATACATATCCTAGGGCAAGGTAAACAAAGATAAAAGTAAACAAATGGGACTACATCAAATTAAAAAGCTTCTGCACAGCTAAAGAAATCATCAACAAAAGGAAAAGAAGGCCCAGTATATGGGAGAACATATTTTTCAATGATAGCTCTGAAAAGAGTTTTAATTTCTATAATTTATAAAGAACTTAATAGAACACAACACCATGAAGACAAACAATCCAATTAAAAAATAGACAAAGGACCTGAATAGACACTTCTCAAAAGAGGACAAACACATGGCCAATAGGCATGTGAAAAAATGCTCAATATTGCTAATCATCATAGAGATGCAAATTAAAACCACAATGAAGTATCACCTCACATCTACCAGAATGGCTACTGTCAATAAACCAACAAGTCCTGGTGAGGATGTGAAAAAAAGAGAACCCTGGGGCACCGCTGGTAAGAATGCAGACCAGTGCAGCCACTATGGAAAAAGGTATGAAGTTTTCTCAAGAAATTAAAAATAGAACTGTGCTTCAATCTAGAAATCCCACTTCTGGGCATATAGTCTAGGAATCCCAAAACACCAATTCAATATGTTATAGCAGCATTATGTATAATAGCCAAGACCTGGAAACAGCCCAAGTGCCCATCAATGGATGAGTGGATAAAAAAGCTGTGGTACATTTATACAATGGAATACCACATGGCAGTAAAAAAAAAAAAAAAAAAGGAGGAACTCATACTTTTTCTGACAGCATGGAAAGGCTGGAAATTATTATGCTTAGTGAAATAAGCCAGTCAGTGAAAGACAAATGCCATATACTCTCTTCTATTTGTGTAATTTAATGAACAAAATAAACGAATGTACAAAATAGAAACAGAGACATAGATACATGGAACAGACTGACAGCTGTCAGAGGGCAGTGGAGGGACTAGATGAATGAAGGTGATGGGATTAGCCAAAGAACATATGCATGACTCATGGACATGGACAACAATGTGGCGATGGCCTGATGAGGGCAGGGGGAGGGGCAGGTGGGTGGGGCTGTGTGAATGTGGGCAAGGGGGAAATAGTGGGGACAATTGTAATAGTGTATATAATAAAAAAAAAAAGGAAAAAATAAATTATGAACCTAAATAAAATATAATAAAACATCAAAGAAATGTTTGCTAAGTGAACAAATCTATCCAGAAAATTGTTGTGGGTTTAAAGAAATGCTTATACAACATAATAAAACCACCAATACAAAATATTAATGCCAATGAGTAGATAAAATGTATTTAATAAGGATGAACCATATTTAAAGAAAATCAAGGTTACATATTTAAAGAATTATTTTAATACTTACAGATTTTCTTTCTGCCCAAATTACTGCTCCGACTCCTATTTTATGATCCTCTGAAAAATAAATGGCCTTTAACTCAGTAACAATCAATGATTTGTTAGTTTCAGAAATATATTTTTCCAAAAATAAAAACATTTATAGAAACATTCTAAATGGAGCAGCAATTTCTGACATTTCCCAAATTATAGAAAATCACTAAAATAAACCCTTTAAGCATGGGATATGGGAATTAGGTACTAAATAACTAGACAGTGTCACTACCAACTGAGTCACATAGGATCTATATGCAGAGATCATTAAATTGGCAGTGTCCATGGTCAGGTTACTTCAGAGTTGTAACCAGAATTGAGTGTAACTACTGATTCTCCACCAAGTCAGTTTGTAAATGATTATTTCTAACAGATAGTAAAATTGATTAACAAACAAGTTTCTGATTTAATATAACTGTTCACAACAATCAAGTTTGTCTTCTAGCATTTTTTATACTCCAATCACAGAAAATACATTTCATTAAAATGTTCTTGCTAAGAAAAATGTTCAGATTTATAACACAAACACAAACAAATCTTTATAGGCTTTCATGTATTTACATTGCTGGTAAGTGCATGAAAGGGATTTTGATTTAAACAATATGTTGTTCTTTCCCTCATCTTCATAATTTGTCTTTAGGGGGAAAAAAAGCCAAGTTAGTGACCTGATGTTCATTTCTAAATCAATTGTAAGATTATAAATTTCGTGTAGAACCAGAATCTCTGCAACAAGATGTATTTCTGAAAACCATTAATACAGAAAATTTAAAAACCAAAATAGAAATTCTACATATAAAGGATTGACTGTTTCCTTGTACCAATACAAGGATGAGTTTCAAATTTCTAGGACAGTTATACATTAATTATGAAAACCACAATATTTATCTAAATCTTAACAAGGGACTAATGTAGTTAAGTAGGTACATTTACACAGAATACATAACAATCATCTCTGAACAATCATCTGTGACCGTAGTGTAGAACATTTTCATACTGGTGAGGATTAAATGAAACTGTGGCTTCACCCTACAATTTCCTTAAAATTAATGTATTTTAATACTTTTCTAGAAAAAGTATTAAGAAACTCTATTGCGCTTATGCATTAAAAACTAGGATGGTTCATAATTTTTAAGTTATGATACTATAATAAAATTCTCCAAATTCAGTACAAGCAAACTTAGGTTTTCAAAATTATATTACAAAGCACTTGTGTAATTTATTTTAAGCACTTTTTATTCATCTCCTTTTTACCCTAAAGGTAAGGCAGATAAAATTTCCTTTTCTGGATGAGAAAACAGGTAAAGAAATTAAGTGACAAAATTTAGCCCTCCAGACCCAACCTACTTATCTTTTCCTCTACCCCTCCCTTTGATATTTAGAATTTTATAATAAACATTTCCCTTTATTGAATGCCCAAGTATACAGTGGTGAGGGAAACAGAAGTCCCTATATTTCATGAAACTTATAGTATCTGATGACAGAGGAAGACAGGAACAAGAAAACACCTATGTGTTGTGCTGTGGACGAAATTAACACAATGCTGAGGAATGGAGTGCATGGGAGGAGGGTTTACTCTATAGAGTGGAAACTGTCAGGAATGGGATTTTAGAGTAACTAAAACAGTGTTTCTTCTAAGACCTTCAAAATAAAACGTGGGGAAAAGAATATAATTACAGCTTTATGATCATTTCAAAGGCAAGTGGCAGTAGTTGTAAACATAAGAGTATTACTGTCTGCAAAACCAAACACCTTTGCTGGGGGTAAAATTGTTCTTAATACATGCATAAATCAAAAACAAAAAATGAAAAACTGAAATAGAAAGTCTTCATATTAAGAGCCTACTTTTCCTACCATCTATACTGACTGTTTTTCATCTTGTGTTTTTTTTTAGTCTCAGGATCCACTTTTTCTGTCTCAGCCTGGAGACAGACTAAACCTTGTCAAGAGGGGGAAAAATGCTCTACTGCTATATAAGGTAAGTCACACCAAAAGAATATTCTTTCCAATGTATATTTTAAAATCAAAATGAAATCTCATCCATTTAGATGGAGTAGATTTCACCCAGCCCCAACACTGGCTGACAAATTAGGTAGTTTCTCAAAAATCTTTTCATGTTTGTAATTTTTACAGTAATTGCTCTGGTCATTCACAGGATCTTCTCTGTACACCTTTGAAGGAAAGACCAACTTACAGTCACTGAGCCAAATTCCTGAGACTCTGATCACTAAGTCAGAGAGCTCTTTATCCTATGGTTCTAGAACATAGGAATGGTTATTATTTTAGTTCCCAATTCTGTCATGTCAGGGTTTGTCCATGTGGTCCACAGGCACTTGTATCAGAATTATTGGCTGTTTGTTAAAAAAGCAGACTCCTGTCTCCCATGGAAATGCCCTTAATCAACCTCTCCATGGAAGGCTGACAGAAACAGGAGTCTGCACTTCCCTCTGTACTAAAAATTGAGAACCACAAAGTTATAATTTGAAACATTAAACTTTCTTGGCTTGATATCCAATCTACTTTGTCATCAACACTGTGGTTCAGGAAGAAGGTATAATCCTCAGCTTTGTAAAATGCTAAGTCTAATGGGAAAACAGGACCCAAAAAAGAGATTAAAACATCGCACTTAAACCAGATAGATAAGATGTAAGGCCCTCCTCTTTTTTCCCCTTAGAACTTAAATAAATTTTGTCACTTCTTTGCTACCTTAAAGTACCATAGAAACATACTTTTAATGACACCTTTGTAGATCCTATTTATTCATCATCCAAGAAGCAATTATTAAGCACTTAATATCAATTACTTTTAGAAAACTGTTGGAGGTTTTACAATTCATTTTAATCATAATACATTTTTAAATGAAATGGTTTAGTAGAATGTTTTCTTCACCTGCTAATTAGAGTAAAATAAATCCATCAAAGCAAACCGAACAGTGTGAAGTCAAAAGTCTGAGTTATTAAAACAGTCTACCATGGGGATATGTACCTTGCTGGATTGTCTTCCATGTTAAATGGTATCAGTATATAAATAGCCTAGCTCTGCACCTGACACATAGTAGGTGATCAATAAATTTTTATTGTTACTATTTATCATCAATGAAGAGAATGGGTCCAGAATTTCTTATATGAAATCCCTTATATCAAGTTTTTTTGGTCAGCTTGATGCACTCATTTTGTGGCTACACTTGACCAAATATTTAATGCAAATATTCATACATTTTACTTCATTTGTGTAAATGTGTTTGATTACATGGTAGTTTTCCAGGTCCCCCAGAAGTGCTGTGTAATATATAGTATATATATACCATATTACCTTTCTAAAATCTGAAAATTTCTGAATTCCTTTTGATCTGGCTCCAAGGGTTTTAGATAAGGGATTGTGGACCATTTATCTCTGGATATAAAAAGATTTCCTTTATCCAGTCAACACACTGCACACTGCTATGGAAAAAATGGCAATGAAGATGTGGTCCCTTCCCTGGAAGAGCTCACAATGGAGTGGAGTGCATTACAGAGTTGTAGTCCATTTAGGATTTGGACTCCAGGCAAAAAAGTCACACATGATCAAAAAATTAACCTTGAAAAATCTTTTAAATTGCCCATCAGGTGCAGAAGTATGGCTTTATGTAAAAAATTCTGCACAGAAATAACAGATAAATTTATAATAGTATCTAATAAAGAATATATATACAAATTTATATCTAAACATTATTGCATCTTTAAACACTGGAATCATACATTGTATGAACTAATCATACACAGTTCTATGAGAACCAATAAGTCTAAGACCAAGTAAAAGAACAGTACATTCACATATCCCACCTTATGTTCCCACTGGAATCTTCTGAATTCTAACTAGCAGAGGGGAATTTATGAATTATAGCTGTAACAGCTGTTCCCACTTATGTTTCTGTCTTTTCTGGTTTAGAGAAGAATTACTTATAAAGTTGGTTTTAACAAAGAGACTAATGTATAGCCCACATTAAAGTAATTACATTAAATCAGACTTCTATACTATAAAGTTCTTTGGCATATTATAGCTTATGCCTGTAGTAGAATCAAATTCTTTAATCAGAACTGAGTGACTACTAACCTTCCTGAATGTCAAAAGTCCTTGTATAACTCTAAAAATTCATCAGCCTAAGTCACACCCTTAGGGACTTGGTTTAGTCTGAGTTGGGATTTAAGCATTTGTCCTCTAATAAAATTTCAGTGGTGATTCTGATATGCTGCTAGTTGAGAACCTCAATTGTACTGAAATTACTCTGACCTGAGGTCTTTGTTAAGAATACACTGTAGGCCAGAAGCATTTATCTGAACTTTTTCTGAAGATTTTCTCTCTTTTCCTTCTTTCTTGGGAAAAGTATAAAACATCCTACTATAGCTCACTCATCAAATCTTACTCTACTGCTCCTCCTGCTTGCATTTTTTTCCTTATTTCAAACCTGCATTTTAAAAAGTGATAATTCTTCCACTTTGGAAAACTTTATATCTGATAAAATCTAAAAACACTGTTCTGCAATTGGAAATACAGAGGCCACCTTTTATCAAAATAAAGAAAATCCCCAAGAAATATTTCCTTTTCACATATATACCCATGCATAACAATATAATAAACTAAAAATGTTTGATTTCTCTACTTGCTGATTGAACACATACCAGCAATTGGGAAAAAAATCTGCCAGTATTTCTTTACTTTGATTCTGTTGGTTACTTTGAATTCATATATTATAAAGATTTAAAAGTTTTTATTAATATTGCACACATATAAAATATTCAAGAGTTAACAAAAATGAATGATTTAGTTCTCTCTCTTTTGTCCCGTCTCTAGTAGAGGGATCAATGAACAGTGAAATGATAAAAAGAAGAAGCAGAAAAGAAGGGTATGGACAATCATGCCTCGATTTATAAATGTAGCACCAAATTATAAAGCCACAAAAAATCTAAAACTGCTCTAAGAAAGAGTTGTTTACTCAAGGGTCTCACTAATTTCCTATATTATACAATCCACAAAACTTTAGGATGAGAGTAAATGAACTCTACTATAGATGAGATGAACCCTACTTTACTTCTGAGTTACAACCCAACCAATAAGCCCCAATGTATGAACTAAGCATATAACTTACCAGTTCGATATGCCAATAACCTGGCCTGAACCATGCAGTGTCTTGCAATTTCTTGTGGCAAACTTTGATTGTGAATTTCATTAATCTGTTCGGTATTGCCACAATAAAATCCATAGTGTTTAAAGGTAGGCACACTGGAAGCTACTGTGGCCAAAAGCAGGATAAGGTCTTTCATGTTTTGCCTTAGATTGTTAAAGTATGGATTTTCACATAGATTCTCCAAACCTATAGTCATCAGTATTTGCTTATGTAGTTCTTCATTTGAAACCAAAAATAACATTTCATATTCTTTTACTCTTTCTTGTCTACATTCAGAATAAAAGTCAGTGTTAGCATCTGGGAATGTTTTTGCAATTTTTTGAATAAAGTCACATTTGTAAGAGGTCTCCTCTACAAACTGCATCATATAACACACCAAAGGCTGAAGCAAGACACAAACATGGGCCCTACTGTTTGATTTCAATCTTTCCACTGCTTTGGCATCTAACTTTGCATCTTCAGAACTAGTAGCCTCAGAAAGCAAACTTATTTCTGGATCAGCAGGCCAATATGAAATTCGGTTAACTCCAGCTGAAATACAAAATATGAAAGGTAGTTATCAGATACACACTGAAATTAAGAGTTTTCTTGATAAATCCACCATATCATTGCAGTAGATCCAGAATTCCCAACATAATAAATGTCTATTACCAAGTGAGCAATAATACAGCCTATGACAAAGCATAGCTCACAAGCCATATCCAGCCTATTACCTATTTTGTATGGCTTGCAAAATACAAGAATTTTTTGTATTTTTCTTTGTAACAAAGAAAATGTATTTCTTTGTAACAAAGAAAATCCATTCTTTGTTAAGAATGGATTTTATAGTTTTAAATAGTTGGAAAAATAAAAAACAAGACTATTTCTGTAACACAAAAACTATGAAATTCAAATTTCAGTGTCTATAAATAGTTTTATTGGAACATGGGTCCACCATTCATTGACACAGACTCTGGCTGCTTTTGCACAATGGGGTAGCTGAGTTGAGAGCTGGGCAGCTGTTTAGTCACCACGTGGAATGCCTAAAATATTTATTATCTGGCCCTTTATAGGGAAAGTTGTCCAACCCCTAACAAAGCCCAAGGGAGGTATTTGTGGAATCATTGGCCTTGCTGAGTGTGGTCCAAAAGCCCAGTGCTAGGATTATATGCCAGAGTGCTGCAAGTAAAAAATGGCTGCTTTTAGAAATATCATAGCTGACAACAGTTAGTGTCCAGAGTTTTGTTTCTGAAATAAACTATTCAACCATGCATTTAAAATACGAGATCTGTCCAGAAGGTATCCAGCTACGTAATATGAAAAATAGACATTTATTAAAGAAGACATAAGAACAAAAAACATTGTACACAGGACAATGACACCTCAGTCCCCTTCAAAGTAGGTACCTTGGGACCTCACACAGTTCTCCCAGTTGCCATCAGCTGCCCCATCATATTTTCCTGAATCTCACTGATGGTCTGAAATCTCTTCTCTTTCAAAGGTGATTTTAGTTTTGGGAAAAGGCAGAAGTCTTAGGGTGCCAAATCTGGGCTGCTGGGGGGCTGAGTCACCTGGGTGATTTGATGTTTTGGCCAAAAAATTCTGCATGAGAAATGATGAATGAGTGGGCACACTGTTGTGATGAAGCTGCTAAGGGCAAACACCAGTTGCCCATAGCTGCGGGCTTCTGAATCATCTGAATAGTTTCTGCAATGTTCAAGCTTAATGCAAAATTTGATGAAGATTTGTTGTTCTACTCGCTCAGTCACTTTGAATGTAACAGCCACACAGTACACACGCTCACTCGATGGTGTCTACCACCCCCACTGACTTAGTACAGTGAAATCATCATTGCTCACATGGACACATTCTAGTCTACTCTCCTTGGTTGCCAGATTACATCAATGTTGTGCAAACTGCCCTTGTTACATTAACAATGGCTGGACTTTTTCCAGACAGACTTTGTATACCTGTGCTCTGAATTTTTCCTGTGGGAAGCTATTCTATGAAAATATTCTAAATAGAAACAAAAAAGAAAACATGCATGGCTAGATTTAGTGCAGCGTTGTTTAAATCAGTAAAAACAGAAAAAATCTAAATGGAATAGGAGAATGGTTAAACAAATTAGGGTCCTCCTCATAACAAAATATACAGTTACCCAAAATGTCCACAAAGAACTTACAATGTGAGGGCAGCAGTCGGGGCGGGGCGGGGGGGGAATGTTACAATATTAATTTTTTTTAAGTCCACAAAATTAAAGACAGAACAACAAACGAGAAGGAACATTTTTTAATCAATGTGACAAAGGAAAGGTTAGTAATATTTAACATACAGAGAAAACTTTAATTCATTAAGAGCATATACAGGTATCAATGGATAGGAGCAAGGCCTCAAGAGATTCCAAAAGATAATGAACAATTTATAAAAGAGAAAACAAAAGTGGATAACAAACATATGAAAAAATGTTTTAATTTGTATTTAAGATCAAATGATGAGAGAATCTTTATAGAGTTAAGCACCCAAATATTCGTCAATTAATTAGTATTTTACAACAGAAACCCTTTGCTAATATCTCATGTAATTGCAGCTAAGAGAGACTTTTTTTTTTATTTTACTTTTTACATCTCACCCGAGGACACTTTTTTCACTACTTTTAGAGAAAGAGGAAGGGAGAGAAAGAGAAACATGGATGTGAAAGAGAGACATCAATTGTTTGCCTTCTCACATGCATGCTGACTAGAGATCAAACCCACAACCTGGGTATGTAACCTGACCGGGAATCGAACCAGCAACCATTTTAGTCTATGGGATGATGCTCCAACCAACTGAGCCACACTGGCCAGGGCAAGAGTCATTTTTTATGATTCTGCCCAGAAGTGACTAAACAGATGACCCACAGGGTGTTGTGCATTCAAAGTGTCTCTCTCTCTCTCTCTCTCTCTCTCGCTCTAAAAATCAATCAGTAAACACCTTTATCACTCCTATCACTCAGGAAATTCCAAGGGATTTTAGTTGCTCTGTGATAGAAATGGGATGAAGACCAAATGTATAATTCATATTATAAATCACAATATCATAGTACCTATGTAAAATATAAGGACAGAGATGGATAGCTATACACTAATAATTTGTGTTCCTCCTTCCAAAATGTAAAGTAGTCATTGGAAGGCATGCTTGCTGCCCAGCCAGGAACTGCAGTTCTGACAATGGATATGAACAGAAGTTCAATGGATATGAACAGTATGTGACTTCTGGGCCAGGATTTTTAAGAGCAGGTATGCCTTCTCTATTTTCTTTCTCAGTCTGGATGCAGAGGACTCAAGGCCCTTGGGGATGAAGTAGCAGTACCACAGAAGATGCCTAGGCCCATGAATCAACCACAGGGAGAAAGCTATCTGCTGTTCAGTAACATCTACATTGGGATATTAAAGTAGAACCCCCTTATCCGCAATTTCACTTTCTGTGATTTCAGTTACCCATAGTCAACCATGGTCCACAAATATTGAATGAAAAATTCCAGAAATAAATCATTCATAAGTTTTCAGTTGTGCACCATCGTAAGTAGTGTAACGAAATCTCTCCCTGTCCCACTCCATCCCACCCTGGATGTAAATCATCCCTTTGTTCAACATCTCCACACTGTATACATTGCCCACCCATTACTCACTTAGTAGCCGCCTAGGTTACCAGACCCACTGTTACAGAATCACAGTATCTATCACAGTTCTTGTGTTCAAATAACTTATTTTAACTTAGTAATGGCCCCAAAGTACAAGAGTAATGATGCTGGCAATTCGGATATGCCAAAGAGAGGCAGTAAAGTGCTTCCTTTAGATGAAAAGGTACGTATGCATAGGAAAAAAAAACATATAGGGTTCAGTATTATCTGTAGTTTCAGGTCTCTCCTGGGAGTCTTGGAATATACCCCCCAATGATAAAGGAGTACTACCGTACAAGGGTTATAAATGTCTAGTATGTTAAGCCACTGAAATTTTAGTGTTTTCTAATAACAGCTAACATTAGTCTACTAGTACATAAACATCATCTAACTAGTTAGTGACAGAGATGAGACCAGAATCCATGCTTTCTGACACTTCTTACAGTATATCAAACTGTCTTCAGATATAGTATATATATTTCTAAATTACCTCTGTGGCATTTATGCAATTTGTTTCCACTGACTATTCTCAAGATAAATACTAGTGATCCCCAACAAAGCTTTATCTGCACTTACCATTTACGATCATTTTCAAACAAGCAGAACATGGTTTTCTAGAAAAATAGAGGTCACAGTTTTTCAGCCTTGACCCATGTTTTATAAGAGCAATTTTTCCAGCATGTAAATCTTCACTCGAACAGTGAAGATCAATAATTTTCATGTTTTTCACCACGACAAGACCAGTTTTCTTCACCTACATTAAGATACAAAATAATAATTTATTAGTTGAAATTTCTAATGACCATATATCATGGACTATACCTGTTTATTAATGAAATGAAAATGTTCTTTAGTCTTTATCTGAACAGTTTAAACAAAAGCACATTTTCCATTAGGTCCTCAATTTTTTCTGAATGTTGAATATTGACTTTATGCCAGAAATATTCTAAATCTGGATTTCTTAGTCAATTAAGTATTTATCATTAATTTGTCCTAGTGAAAAATAAATATATTTTGACCTACTAAATGACAAGAACCAAGTCAATTTGACTTTTTTTTAAAATAGCATCTACTCTAGGACTATTTAGTATTAAGTGCCTAGGGGGTAATAAAGAAAAATTTGGAAAACTGTGACTTTACATATGGGAAGCCCAGAAAGTTCAGATGACTTTCTGAAAGACCCACAGATGGCAAAAGGCACAACTAAAGCAGAAGTAGTCTTACATTTTGAAATATTTAAAATATTGATTAATATAAAAATAACTTTCAACTTCATTCCTAAAAACAACTTTTAACACTATGGCAGTCTAGAGTAATGTGTTTCCACTTTCACAAATATATTGATCATTTATCATAAAAAACTTTTTAGGCTTCTCGTCGAGATGGAGGTGTAGGTACACACGGACTTGCCTTCTCACACAACTACATCAAAATTACAACTAAAATACAAAAAATCATCACTCAGAACAGTCAGAAATCCAGTTGAAGGGAAGCCTGACAACTACAGAACTTAATAAACCACATCCATTCCAACTAGTAGGAGGGGCGCAGACGCAGAACGGGCTTCTCCCAAATCCACGTGTGGTGGATAAAAATTTGGAAAGGATATCTCTGGAGTGAGGAGCCCCAGCCTCACATGAAGCACTGCAGCGCAGAGTTCCAGTGCCAGAAGATAAGCCCCCATAACCTGTGGCTGCAAAAAAAAACAGCCAAAATTGAGTCAGTGGAAGAAACTTCTGGAGTTCCAAGCAGTTCCTCTTGAAGAAACCACACATGGAATTACTAAGGCTCACCCCTTCTGAGCTCCAGCACGATGGTAGCAGCTTGAAAGGCACCAGAAGCTGAAGCATCTGGCATCAAGGCGAGAACTGGGGTACAGCTTTCTCCCAGACAGAAATGAGGAGAAAGGCCATTGTCCCTTTACTGAACCCTCCCCAAAGAGAGATGGCAGGTTGGTGCTATTTCTGACACTCCATCAACCTAGCTAACTCTGTTTGCCCTACTCTGGAGATCCCCAGAAACTCTGTCCCACCCAGCTTACTGGCTCACCCAAGCTACTCTTCCATACGATGGCAGGTCTTGACTCATGCTTCACAACTTCCTAAATCCTCTTAAACAAGCAACCTCTAGCCTCAGTGAGCCCCCAGCCCCTGTACCTCTTGCTAATTGGCCCCAGGTGCAGCAGTAGCAGCAGCCAGCCTAGATTCACAGCTTGGCTTTGCCTGGGAATCAACAAGCCAAGCACAAGTAGCAGCCACCTCAGATTGATTTATAGCTCAGGCAGGGTGACCCCAGGCAAAACACAGGTGGGGGGTTGACCTTGGCCTATACCACCCGAGAAATCCCAGAGTCTGAACATCCAGTGGAGAGCTGGCTACAGGCCACATCGGAGCATCACCACCCTGCCCCCACACTGCTGATAGTCCACAGAGGGTGGAGATGGGTGGTCAGTGGTCACAGCCAGTCCTTGCAGCTGATCGGCCTGGGAAAATCCCTCCCATTGACCTGCCAATAGCAATCAAGGCTCAACTACAAGAGGAGGGTATACTCAGCCCACACAAAGAGCACACCTCGAGTACCCAGCTCTGGAGATGGGGGAGGCTATGCCACTGGATGCTACCGGAGGCCTACTACATTAGACCATGCTAGCAAGAAAGGGAGTCCTAACAGCTCTACCTAATCGACAGAAAGAAACACAGGGTAGCTGCCAAAACAAGGAGACAAAGAAACATGGCTCAAATGAAAGAACAGAACAAAACTCCAGAAAAAGAGTTAAATGAAATGGAGATAATTGGTCTATCAGATGCAGAGTTTAAAACACTGGTTATTAGGATGCTCAGGAACTTAGTGAGGACTTCAGCAGCATAAAAAAAGACCCCATGAAAAATGAAGGACACAGCAACTGAAATAAAAGACAATTTACAGGGAAACAACAGTAGAGGGGATGAAACTGAGAATCAAATCAATGATTAGGAACAAAGGGGGCAAAAAACAACCAATCAGAACAACAAGAAGGAAAAAGAATCCAAAAATGAACATAGTATAAGCAGCCTCTGGGACAACTTCAAGAGGTCCAATATTCACATCTTAGGGGTGCCAGAAGAAGAGAAAGAGCAAGAAATTGGAAGTCTACTTGTAAAAATAATAAAAGAAAACTTCCCTAATTTGGCGAAGAAAATAGACATGCAAGTCGAGGAAGCACAGAGAGTCCCAAACAAGATGGACGCAAAGAGGCCCACTCCAAGTCACATCATAATTAAAATGCCAAAGGTTACAGATAAAGAAAGAATCTTAAAAGCAGCAAGAGAAAAGCAGTTACTTACCTTCAAGGGGTATTCCCATAATATTGTCAGCTGATTTCTCAAAAAAACCTTTACCGGCTAGAAGGGATTGGCAAAAAATATTCACAGTCATAGAAAGCAGGGACCTACAGCCAAGAGTGCTCTACCCAGCAAATCTGTCATTTAGAATCTAAAGGCAGATAAAGAGCTTCCCAGATAAGAAGAAACTAAAGGAGTTCATCATCACCAAACCGTTATTATATGAAATGTTAAAGGGACATATTTAACAAAAATATCAAAACTATGAACAATAAAATGGCAAAAAAAATACAATTCTATCAACAGTTGAATCTAAGAAACAAACTAAGCAAACAAGAACAGAGAACAGAATCATGGATACAGAGTGTTTTGAGGGTGGCCAGATCAGAGAGGTGGTGTTGGATAGGTGAAGAGGTGAGGGGAATTAAGAAGTACACGAGTAGTTACAGAATAGCCATGGGATGTAAAATACAGTATAGGAAATGGAGTAACCAAAGAATCTATACATATGACCCATGGACATGAACCATGGTGGGGGAATTGCCTGAGGGAATGGGGGCTGCTGGGTGGGGAGGAAGAAAAGGGAAAAATCACAACTGTAATAGTATAATCAATAAAACAAAAAACCAAAAAAATAAATTGATGAATATGCTTCCTATTTATGAGGAACAATTTTTTTTTTTAAGTCTCCAGTAGTCATGGTTTCCAGCTTCATTTCTGTGCCCTTAACAGAAAATATAAAATTAAAGTCAACCCTGCTTGGTGTGGCTCAATGGATTTGGGTCATCCTGCAAACCAATAGGTTGCCAGTTTGAATCCCAGTCAAGGCACGTGACTGGGTTGCTAGCCAGATGCCAGGTTGCAGGCAGGTGAGCAGCAATCGATGGATATTTGTCTCCCTCTATTTTTCACTCTTTGCCTGAAGGACTGTTAATAGAATTGTATTTTTCTATCAAAATAAGGAGTTTCCCAGACAAAAGAAGGCTAAAAGAATACACCTCCACCAACATATGCTAAAGGGACTGCTTTAAGAAGATGAAGAAGAGTCTATGAATACTCAGTTCTTTTCATGGTCACCAATACTTGATATTAACAATATTTTTAATACTTATTAATCTGATTGTGACAATGATGTATTAATCATTATTTGTTGAAACTAAACTTGTTTTTGTATATTTCTTGTCTATTTCTATTAATTTTCAATAGCTTTAAATGACTTTTTGGTACTCTTTATCCATTTTTTTATTAAATGTTTGTAGAATTTTTTCCCTAAAAACAAAAAAACCAAAAAAAACACAAAACCTACCCCTTTTGTAGATGTGTTGCAAATACTTTATATTGTCAATATTTTACTTTATAGCTTCTGGGCTTGAATATGTTACTTAAGGGTAAGAAAAATATTATTTTGTATTTTCTCCTAACTCTCTATATTTTACATATTGATTTTTAACTCAATCTTCTCATTATTTGTGAGACTCTTCTCTTTTGCTTCTGCTTCTTAAATTGATCTGCCTTGATTTCCTGACTTTGTGGTGTAAACTTCTATGGTAAGAAACCAGTTTTTTTCTTTCTGGATCTGCCTCTGATGTTGTCAGGTGTTGACCCTGTCTGACCTTAGGCAGTCTGTTCCAGACTTCCAGGAATCTACTGCCTGCGGCTCTCTCCTCCAGCTGTTAATCTAGTCACTCTGCACTCAGTAGGCCAGTTTAGAGACACTACAGGGCAAGGCAGAGTCCCTCCAGGGGGCGGGGTTATTGGGTCCTCTCATGCTGTTGCAGCTCAGGGGAGTGGTCTACCTGAGCAAGATGGCTGCTGCTGCATGGGGGAGGAGTCAGCACCAGGATTCACCCGGCTACTCACTCAGTTCTCTTCGCAAAGCCTGCTTCCCCAAGTCTCTCCTCAGGTGTCTCCAGCCCACTCTGCCCCTGTCTTTGCCAGAGAGCAGGGTAAGTAGCTGCAAACAAAAATGTATGCGTTGGCCCTTTAAATGGCTCTTTGAGTCTCCAGCTGTCCATCTCTCTCAGAGAGAAACCCTGCCGCTTTTCGCAGCTGCCTGTTATCTGTGTACTTTTTGGGCTCTGGTGCTGTAGACTGGAGATCCCTGCTTATGGTTTAGACCTCGCTCTTCTCGGGGGGATTCAACTGGCTGTTTCAATATTCTTCTAGTGCTACTGTCCATGGGCACCCCCCCACCTTCTTGAGTCTCTACCGCACTCCTTACCAGTTAGGTTGTGCTGAAGCTGATTCTTCTGTCTGTCCTAGGTTATAAGGTTCTTCTCTCACTATTTTTCAGTTGTTTGTTCCAGGTGATTTCTCCATAATTTAGTTGTAATTTCAGATTGGTCCCAGGAGAAGGTCAATGTGACTTCCACTCACTCCTCCACCATCTTGATTCTCCACTTTCCTATTCCATTACTTGTCCTTTAACTTTTTT